ATTTAAGGATTGTTGTTGATGCAATTTGATTGTGTGCCATTCTGTATCAGCTTCTGCGAATTGTGAGTTTGGTTAAATAACGTATTGTCTCATCCTACATGATAATTTGATTGTTGTTCAAATATTGTAGATTCAGAGAAGTCACTGCGCGCTGTAATCGGTGTGTACATTTCAAGCGAAATCGTGACAGCACTTGCGATATCTTTAGCTCGAAGTGATTGGCAAAGTAAGGGTGAAATGGGAATTAAATATCGATTGTTGAGATAAGACCCTGAAAACATAAATAACATTCGCATGTGCATAAAAAGAATAACAAATGAACTCTATAGAGCCAATTTCTGAAATTCAAAGTAAGTTGTTTTGAAAATTATAAATAACTTGAAAAAATCGAACTGCCTAAGGCGGGAATTGAACCCACGATTGATTGAGAATTCTTATTGATAAAATCAATCGCCATATTGCAAAAAAGGGAAATACAATTTAGTCCATTTTTTACGTTAACAAGATATAATATGAGCACCTTTTATGTTCTCTTACGATGTAGAGTCACTTATTTATCTCTCGTATTACCTAAATAACTTGACATAAGAAAAAAAAATGCGGTAAATTCATAGTCTTTAATAAGAACTAATTTATCCAAATGCATTCTATTCTACCACTGTCATCGTTCCGGATCGTAGCTGTCATAAGCTACCTATAGATATTATAAGACCTATAGAACTATAGATTTAATAAAAAATGATGCGATAGAATTCTCATAGTCTCTATTAGGTGCTAAATTCCCACGAATTGCTGCCATCATCTACTTCTCAATTGACGCGTCATCTTCGCCAGGGTGTTGTGAAATCTTGCAGCCGTATATCTGTCGTATCATTGAAATGATTACTGCTGACTAGTATCGATGACGACTGACAAACTGACAAGTAGGTCGCTATGTATTTGTCGATTAAGTGCAAGATTCTGTGTGTACCTTTCCCACAGATAATGTTCGGGTTTTTCGTTGACACCATTGTAAGATATGAATCTTGATTGTTTCTAAAAGACATGGATATTCCTTGGCAAAAAAACCCATGTAGCTTTACTTTTACTAATCTGATTGGTTGTTTAACAATATTTTGGTCAATCACAGACTGGAATGAGTTTAGTTATTTACATGAGAATACAGGTAGAGTTTCTAAGTCCACGGTCTGAAATTTCAGTCTGCTCTGGTAAATAAGACTGGTAGTTGTATAGAAGAAATAGTACACTGCAACTATGCAAGTTATAAAACGTGCAGTGTGCCAAACGAATAACATTCAACACTACGTGACTGCGCAACCGGTAATGAAACATTGTTAGTTAAATACACGCCTAATATCTAATCTGAACCGAACTAGCTTGAAAGATTGCTTAGAAAATAATCAGTGGCATTAAAGCCACTATAGTGCAGTTGCATTCCGTAGATTCCACTTATCCAACTACATTGCTATGGATTCTATCTCAATAAACAATTAGATTACATGACATCACACGTTATAATTAAATCTGGCATTTAGATAATTGCAAATGTTCGTTTGTTATTTCCAGAACGTTTTGTTCCATATCCACGTAAATGAGATTAGTGTAGAGCAGATTACTTACAATTTTTTGTCTAGTACCTAGAGGCGTCATAGTTTTTGTACGAAATAGTTAAAATTGTGTTTCGTGAGTTCTTATAATGACTTCTCTCGCATTCCAGTCATGGACGTTTGCTTCCATAACGAGCAGCCGGCGCAGGAACAAGACCTTTTTATGCCCCAACAATCACCACTTTATCTATGGGTACACCATCAAATCAGGCATTCACGACTCTTCTGAATCTTGTTTGCCTTCGACGGACTCGCTGTTCATATTTGCTATATTACCCCATCGCAGCCTTTGCAATATGTTCCTTATCGCCTCCTTCCATAAGACCCTTTTGAATTGCATAACGCTTGGTGGGTTCTAAAACGCGGAGGTGCTTTCGGTACTTACAAGCAGGTCTTTGTAAGTGCAACCAGTTTAACGAGAGCTCCCTCGTCTCCTGTATCGGATACAAAATCGGGTATCGGAAGAGTTGTCAGTTTGGTTACAAGAGGTTTCGTTGTACCGGTTTCTGGCGCGAGGTCGTGCGACAGAACTGTTCTTGTGTAGACTGTGAAACTCTGTTATTGGACAGAGCCGCATACATCGTGTGTTTGTCTGTCAGTTTGTACTGAGTTTTCTTTGTTGCTATGAATCGCGTTTGTATTGACAGATGGGTGGTTTTTGCTGAGGATATGGGGCGTGCATTAATGAATAGAACCGTCAATGTAGCTTGTGTGCGTGCCAGCGAAGTAATGACTGGTGCGCGAGTTTGCAAAAAGTAGCATTGTGTTATCGGTTATTTATGTTTCCGCGGTTATCATGATGTAATTTCAATAGAGAAATAGGAATCTATATTTATACTGGTTACAGACATGCATGTGAACGTCAGAGCGCTGAACAAAACAAAGCAATCAACTTTAATTATTTAACTGAAACAAGAAACGTAATGGCTGCATAATGTCTCAATTTCGACTTCCTGCCAGTCCATTGATGTTAATTATATCACAAATGGATACATCATACAGATTAGTATGCTGTGTTTTGTGATCTCAATTTAGAATACAACAAGCTGGCGTGGTAAATTCTAGCTAATCCATGATGTCACCTTTGTAGTTATGGATTTTATTGGAAACCAGATAAATATTGTCACATTGTTAACAATGACGAAGAGATATCAAAACCTTTACAATTAGATTAGTAATAAATATGTAAATACCTTCATACATCTATGTAGTAAAGACGTTTTGTTGTAAAATACATAGGTACTCAACATTTAATTCAAAATTTTTGCAAACCCGTTTCTTTCAAAGCGTTTTATATTCAAAAGGTGTTTGAAGAGCAAACCTCGTACATCCGAATACTTATAATAGTGTCAGCAAAAAAGTTGGTCCCAGACGTTCTTCTCGAGAAACTCGTTATGGGCTTGAAAGGATATCAAAGATCACGGATGAATCATGGCAACCTCTTGGCAATAAAACGTTTGACTCCAACCTTCTGGGAACTGCATCTGCGCCGGCGCACGTGATGTGACCAGAAAGTTTAATAAGCACGAACAATAGATTGGACTAGATACGCTCAAAACTGGTGACATATGTCCGGAACGTGCCAGTATGTTTTTAGTGCTCCTATGTACGTGGGCAAACCACTAAACATTTTGAACCACAAGTTAAACATAATTGAAAAATGCTACACGAGTTTACAGCCTGTTCAAAAGCTTACAACATATAATGTAGGTACATTCCCTTCACACATAACACTAAGGGATAATGCTAATCTAAAATTAAATCCTGATACGAGATTCATTATCAATAATTCAATCGATGTATCCCTATCGGTCGATCTCCATTCGACGGAACCGGTTCCAACCCAATCGAGTATCAACAACGTATGAAGTTATTAACATGAAATTAAAATATTTACCGAACTTTGCCGGGTGCATTTGCTTTTTTGCATGACAATCAAATACGTATGCGTCGCACAAAACGGTGAGATCATTTGCATGAACCTTAAGGGCAACTAAATGTTGTTTTATTCATGCACTCTCGAATCTGGCGTTTCTTGTTTGGTAACCAGTCCTCGCTCAAATGGTGCCAACAAGATATTTTTTCCGTTCACATGATATTTCGGTTGTTTATCCAGTTCCACTAATTTGAGCGCAACATAATTCGCGTTATGAATTCAAATTAAAACAACATTTAGCGCAACGCGATCACGTATCCGATCTCGCTGAAATAAATCACAATTTGCTGGAAGCGTATTCCCCTGACCTCATTTGACCTACAATTTACGTGGCAGACAATTTAATCCTTCCTGAACGCGAGGAAAACCTTCGTTGCCTACAACTAAATTCTGAGAACATATTTCAGCCTGTTTTTACTTCAAGTGGGCGGCCCCGACTGATCGTAGATTGTGTGAGTCAGATGATATGGGTGTGGGAACTCGTATTATTTTAGACGTATGCTATAGCGCGTTTATCTCAAACTTGGAGTACATGATTCATATCGAGAACGCCATCTCGGTGCGGTGCTTGCGCGGCCCTAAACTTGGACGCAAGCCAGTGCCTAAAATCGGACTGCGGACATGTTTCAACCGTTTCACCGCCGCGTTATACTTGTAAAGTTCTCCTGAGACGTGACAGCATTATGAACATCATAACCGCTCCAAATGTGGCTTATGCGACCGCGACGCGACCCGAAACGGCCCGAAATGACCAGTAATCGCCTCTCTGATGGCAGATAAGCACAAATGAATATGTAACGCCCGTCCTCCCACGACCGAGTACAATAAAACCGGGCCTGACCCTATAAAAATAAAAACAGGCAATTAATATTGTTTATTCGCGTCCGTTATTCGGAGCAGCGACAGTAACAAACGACGTCTGCATGAATTAATGCGAGGCTGTTGTCTCTTGCAGCTCGAGTACCACGGAAGAATCCGGTTGTGTAATTCCTATACATATAACGGAACATCCAGTTATGATAATATTAGCCGAATTTCACGAAGCATCTGCCGTAGTTTCAATGTAGATTTCATCGGAGCCTCCGATAAAGCGTGACTGTTATTTTAATGGGAAATTGTGTTGGGGTAAATTCAACTGTAGAACTGTGGCTCATGGATTATGGATGCGGCCAGAGTTCAATTCAGTAATTAATTTCGTTTAATTACTAGAGCTTGGGTTTCTTATTGGATAGTGAGCCCCGCAGGGTTGTACCATCGGGCCGGTTTTGTAAATAATGATTCTGCGAATCGAACGTGAACGTGTTGAAAGTCAGTCGGGTTATCATACAGGGGGAGATAAATGCATCACTTGCGTCATAGACACGTTAAGCACTCATGATGCGAGGTCCTGGCCGTCCCAGGTGCTCCACCAGGAGTGCTAATCTCCTGAAACTTTTACGAGGCGACGCATGAATAATTCCCGAGAGGAGCAGCTATCGATCGCACACGTCGAGGTTTTTATTTATACGGCGCGGGTGGGCGAGGCGCATATTAGTAAACAAGCGCAGGCGCGGAGGCGGACACTCACCGACTTGTAGCACGCTCTCCACGCAGCCGGCCTCAAGCAGCTTCAGGCCGCGGCAGAAGGCGATGTTGCGGTGGTCGTCGGGCGGCGCGCGCGCCAGCGACGAGTACATGCAGATGTCGCGCTCGTCCCGCGGGAAGGACCAGTACACCACGCGGCGCTGCACGGGCTCCGGGATCCGCTCGTAGCGCTCCTCGATGCGCTGGAAGGGGATGGAGGCGGCGACGATCTTGGCCGTGATGTCGAGCAGCGTCGGCGGGGCGCGCGGCCGGCAGCAGGCGCGCGGCGCACACGCGGACATGGCGCTCGGTCGGCCGCTCGCCGCGGACTGGCGGCGCGGCCGGCCCCCGCCCCCCGCGAGCCCTGGGGATGCGCGCCCCGAATCGACACGCCGCGATAAATTATTCATTTGCCGGCATAATGTGCGATATATTATTAAAAGTTGGCATTTTTGTGTTGTTCTCCAGTGGCAACGATAAAATCGATAACTGGAAACGACGTTGTTATCATTTATTTAAAGTCTCCTTGATTGCACTGCGACAGCTCCGGTTCACGTGGCGGGGGTCCGCTACTCCGCTATGAATTATTTGATGAGCACTTTTCAACTTTTGCTTGTTTGACGTTATAATATTCTATTGACGTCGGTTTGTCGCTGAACTCTTGCAATTTATTCAGGATGGTATATTTAGTAAAGGAGTCCTGGTTACAGTGTAACGAAATATTGAATTGGAGGAGGAGAGCAGTGGCGAATCAAATTAGCGTCTTAAGCTGTTGAAAAGAAAACAAAAGAGACGCGAGCGCTAATCCAGTCGGGCCCTGCCTCCTCGCATTACACAAACGAAGGGGAAAGGCCGGCGGGGCGCGGGCGGGGGACATTAACAGCTGATGGCAGCGGGGGGAGGGGCCGACGTCAGGTGTCCGACCTGACTCAGCTGAGATTCGGATCGCGCAGCGCTGCAGCGGCTGCCGGGTGCGCGGTACATTGACCTTTTTGTTTATCATTTTTTTACACATTACACAACTATGTTGGCATGTATTCTCGATGCCGTTTATGGTAATCGGACGAATTTTTAATAGAGCTTTCTAAGTATCTGTGAATTTTCAGTTTTCTTTTAACAGTGGCTCTACCAAGGAATGAATTAACGAAACAATATTGTTTATTTATTCAAAGGTAGATAAGAAATAAAAGACTGAAAATTATTCTAAAATGATCTAAAATCTAAAATGATATACCTTCTGAATACAACAAAAAAATTTCGATACGAGTTTTTACTTAAATTACAAAAATTATATTACATTCCTACCTCCTGAAAGAAGTATAGTCAGATCAAATCGACGGTCCCTACGTATAGTTCAGTATCTACCAGTTCCGTGATTTGCCGTTTTTGTTTGCAAAACCTTCAGAGCACCCAACAGTTTCGGCTCAGTAAAAAAAACATACAGTTTTTATTCAAATTGAACCTTAAAACGTCAAAAAACAAATCCCGCAACTACAAAATTAGAACGATTTCCGCAGTAAAATTGCATTAGTGGGAGTTAAGAAATTTTACGTTGAACCGCACGCCTTACTCCGCGCGCCCAGCCCCGTAACTGCCACTTTCATTCGCGCAGATCGAGTAAATTGATACGTAATTTATGAAGGAAATAGGTATTATTATGGTTTCTGACTTAATTTATTTCACTCAACATTATACCAACGGCAAATTAATCAGTTAACTGTAGGCATAAGGTAGTTGCGTTGTTTTACTCGGGACAATTAAAGTTACTATTATAAGTAGGTGGCACTTACTTATTTTTACGTCGGAAAATTCAAGTATCTTCTAGCTGTAACTGCCACTATAAATGTTTTACTTTGTAAAAGTTTGTTTTATGTCTATAAGTCAGTGCCAGTAACGGTGTTTTACGCTGAGAAATTGTATTTTAGCAATATCTGGTGGACATAAATGTGAAGACAAAACAATATAAAATATGATATAGAACACGACTGAAGTATCTAGGGTCATTTATTAGACAACGCAACCAAGTTCTTCTCCTATGATACTTTATAATACAAGATACAAGTAAAAAATCGTAAAATTTATTTTATTTATTTATTAGGCATATTAAGGCATTCAGAAATAAAAATAAGCAGGTAACACTTACAAACAAAAGTTTAAATTAACTGCATTTAGAATCTACTATTACATGATAATGCTTACATGATATTGCAAACATCAGAAGGATGAGGTATACCCACTAAAAATACCCTGGTGCCCCGTCACTCGCCATAAGTGCTAACTTTGAGATTCCGGACAAATATTTCCCACCTACACGGCGATAGATAGGACGAGAGCAACTGGAAGTACACAGCTTTTCCGTACACACACTCACCGACAGCAAACGGTGGTGGTGGCCTATCTATGTAATGCCTCCCGTGCGGCCTCACGACCCCGTTACGCTGGTCATTACCGAGGAAGGAAGATAGGAGGCAATCATACTGTCACCTTCCCTGGAGCGAATTCAAATGCACCCGCACTTGGTTCGTAGTAGCGCTATCGTACTGCAGCTTCTTGCGGCACCTTGTCTTCTCAGATAGAGGTGCTTCATTACCACCCAACTTTTGTTACCGTCCACATAGCTTTGACTATGCTATCCCCCAAGAATATAGTGTGTCGTATGCTCCTAGCCACCGCAATACAGGTAGGACTCAAAGGATCCGTGCCCAGTCATGGTGCGATCGCTAGAGCAACCTTAAACTTCAGCACGAGTGCGAATAAGGTTCGGCGACCCAACTTAGCCACGGCCCACGGCGAGGTGGTTTATCAACTATTAGACTACAGCACAGTCTAGCGAGTCTCACGTCAAACGGCCTGTCTGTCCTCCGCGCGGAGCTTTCACCTCGTTCTTCACGCTGCGTTAAAGCCGACGATGTAGCCCTGTAGACTTTCTGGGACTGTTAAGGTCTTAGAAAATGGGCAGCGTTACCCTTCCCTATGAGGGTGATACCTTGGATGGGACAGAATCATGCTTTTGAGGGTACCAGTATAGAGCTCCCGGTCTTTCTCCATAGCCTTCCGACATAGAGTTTTCGCACCTCCAAATTAGGGAAGCAGCCACGAAAAAGCAAGCTGTCTTCCATTCGCACGGCGACGGATTGGAAAAAGTGCGAGCTGCCACTGGTTATATACAGTTAAGGTCACTGTGTTTGCGCTCACTACTTTGCGCCACTGTTGATTAACAGGATAATTCTTAGATATTTGATCTGGGCCTTAGTTTTGACAGTGGTGTGGGCGTCAGGTGAAGGTGTCAGGGATGCCTTTAAATATTTGTGGTCCCTGGCCTAGGGCGATCATAATGCCGTCTGTTTTGCCCAGGCAAGCCGCCTCGCTGTGATAGTTATTTATTTATTTATGAGGATATTCTTGTAATGATGAAACTATCTGCATGACAGAAAATATGAAATATTGAAATATCCATGTCCTTGAAAAGGGTTCCATTTAGTACCCAGTTGTATTCAATGTTCCACAAAATCGAACTCAAAAAAGAGCCATATGGATCTTCGGACTCGATGCCATGCTGTCAAACCTGGCCGGCATTATTGACAAAGAAAATTTACCGGTTCTACAAGTATTCTTCAGTCAAAAGACTCCTTAGATAAGGAAGAATCTTAAGGTATTGAGTACCTCCAAAATGCAACTATCTGGGAAACGAGGCGGGACGCTGTTATGCCTCGTCGAGCAGGACTATGGGCCTAGAGTGAGAGTTACGGTCAGTAGTAGCTAAACTTTGTTCCCGTGTACAATTACTTATGTGGCAGTTAATAATTTAAACAAATATATTACTCCGACGTAAAAGTTAGTAAGTGCCACTTACGTCATTTGTAATTAGAAACTTTCCGTTGTATAAGTGAGTAAATGACAAATAATACACTTATTGTGATTATTTTTTGATAATTCTTCATGTTTTATAAAATATACCTCATATAAAACTATTATACCAAATTTCATCAATGTATGATAAATAGAACGCGAGCTACACATGTTTAAACCTTCAAACCGCTCTCCTGTAAAATTGGCCGTTTTCAGATACGTTTTTATACGTAGGGACCGTCGAAATGTCCCTAAAATGTATAAAAAGATCCCCAAAACTGTTCCAGGAACCCTAAAACCGAAGCTCCGGTTTTCCCCAAACAAAATCTTCAAAAGACCAAAGTAAATACGTCCGCATTTAATCATAATAAGATTAAATTGGTGTTTTAATCGCGCAGCGCTGCAGCGCTTGATTCCCACGGATCTATGTCTCGGGCGGAGAGCGAGGAAATCCCGACGTTGTATACCTGTATATATCTTGTACATAATTATATATAGCAAATTATGTAAGTCAGCTGATCGTTGAGAGTGAACGTTTGTTTACATTTTTTATGATGTCACTGGTTCAAGGACAATTAATGGTCGATTGGTTTTTTGGGATTTTTGGATGGGATGCTGAGCTGGTCTCTGGCTGTGGACTGAGGGTCAAGATCAAGGCCCCTATAGAGAAAGAAGAAGCACATTATTTCTTTCTTTTTTACTTTCTATCACTTTTAACTATAACTTATGCTTAGCTAAGCAGAGCTCTACTTGTCATCGTCTATGTTGTGACAACTACTCTCATTGTGTCACTTATGAGCCGATATATACGCCCGTATTCACAAACATTACTATGAGGTCTCACAGTGCGCGTGGACAGGGTCACACACGAACCAATCACAGAGCTCTGTTTAACGCTGTGCGTTCGATTTGCTGCTTCACTTAAGCAAGCATCGTTTGTGAATACGGGTGAAACTATGTTTAGTTCTGCTGGACCGACGACATATCAAGCCCTTTTCTTTTGATTCAGGAATACAACAGTTTTTTTTTCAATTTGTGTGTCTCATCTGTGAATTGAACCCGAGACCTCCAGAGATCCATCCAGAGACCTCGAGATCTCTACCTCTAAGAAGAACTCTAATTAGACTTGTACTAGATTTCAAAAATATTGCTTCTAAGCCTTGAATTCTTTCAGTCCACCAGACTACATTTTTGCTGCAAAATAGCACCAATTTCAATAGATCCCACATGTTTACCTAGGTTTACCTAGACACTAAAGTGTTCAGCTTGATGTGATCGATGCTTGATGAGTCCATACTACGAAGCTCCACTACCACCATTCACCAATACTCAATTGTTTATTGCTTCCATAATGTTTACAAAAGGTGTTATTAGTAAGGTAAGATACAATAATACCCTGTCGGGCACTGCATTTTAGGAGAGAGGAAGATTTTTAGATTTTTATTGCATTAATTATTCTATGACTATTA